AGCCGGCCAGGGTTGGGTGGGAGAGCCCCAGAGGCCGAGGCTAATCACTGCGGGGTCCAGGTCCCAGTTGAGTCCTCATCAGGAGGCCAAAGGGCTGCTGTCTGCCCTGGGAGCTGGGAGGAAGATAACGTCCCAGGTGCCCCCCCAGGGACACAGAGGTGGCCATTCTCCTGCATGTCCCCTCTTCAGGACTCCGGGACACCCTCCCTGGGCTGGGTCTCCACACCCAGAACTATGCTGTGGCCGTCTAGGTGGGTGTTACTTCCTCATGCGGACACAGTCCATCAGCCACTACATGGTCCTCTTTTTTTGTCTTTTCTCTGGGGGGGGGGGGTGGAGAGGGTACCAGGAATCAAACTCACGACCTTGCGACCTTGCACTAGCCAAGCAGGTGCTCATCGCTGGGCTAGTTCCCCAGCCCCCTGTCATCTTCTTTTTGAGGCAGGGTCTCACTCTGCAGTTCAGGCTGGACTTGAAGTCATGTTGTAGCCCAGGCTGGCCGAAAACTCACAGTAATCCTCCTGCCTCAGCCTCCAGAGTGCGGGGATTAAAGTATGCACCACTGCACCCGGCCCACCACACCATTCTTCTGAAATACTTTTGAGCTGGGCCACACAGTGAGTTCAAGACTTGCCTGAGGGCCACAGGAGCCACTGTCTCAAAAGAACAGTGGCCGATGCTCTAGGTATAGTGGGTCGGGCACGGTGTCAAGCATCTCACAGCGACCTTGCCAGCCTGTCCTGAGGCCCACTGGCTCTCAAGTGGCAGAGCTAAGATGGGAACCCCAGGGGTCTGGCCCTGGCCCCGAAACCACACCACAGCAGCCTGGTTTTCAGTCCTGTGCACTGGGATCCTAGTGGGCTTCTCCCACACAGACTGCACCCCACCCTGAATTCCAAGTCAGCGGCTTGAGAGCTGCATTGCGTTTGGCTCCTGTTTCTGGAGGTGCCCAGGGCCTTCCAGGCCCCACACTTCTTACATCCAGCCTGAAAACCTGTGCTCTTGGGGCTGGGGGTTTAGCTCAGGGGCATAAGCACCTGCCTTGAAAGCAGGTGGTCGTGAGTTCAATCTCTGGGTACCCATAAAAAAAAAAACAAACAAACAAACCTGTGTTCCTTTTTTTGAACTAGGGTCTCTGTGGGGTTCAGCCTCCCACGTGCTGGAATTACAAGAATACACCAGCACACCTCACTCATTCCGGCATTTTAATGACATGATGTTAGCTGGGTGTAGTAGTGCACACCGGCAATCCTGTTACTCAGGAGGCTGAGGCAGGAGGAGTTCCATGCGGTCCAGGCCAGCCTGGGCCACAGAGTGAGACCGTGGCTCAATAAATAAATAAATATTTAAAAAGAGACACAACCCGAGAGTGCCACGTGTCATTCTATCTGTCTGTCTGTCTGCCTGCACTGTTCTGTGAGATGTCACAGATTAGCTGGCTGAGCTATGCCGTTCCATGGTTTCAGGAATTCAGAGTCTGAAGCCATCACCACACCTGACATCGGAACATTTCCACTGCCCACAGAGCCCCAAAGGCAGGAGCAGCTCCTCCCATCCCCCAACCAAACAGCTGTGGCAGGGGCAAGTTGGGGACCAAGCCGTCTCCATGTCTGTGGGCTCAGTGTCCCGGACATTGCGTGTGAATGAATGGCATCCCGCAGGCGACTGTCACTCACTCAGTGTATTTTTTGTTTTCTGAGACAGGGTCTTGCTGTGAATCCCAGAACGGCGGCAAATTCACAGCAATTCTCCTGCTCATCCTCCTGAGTCCTGGGATTACAGGTCTGCCCGCCGCACCCAGCCAGTTGAAGGTTGTGATTAAGGGTCGCAGGGACTGTGAACCAGTATGCAGGAACACAGGTTGGGGATCAGGCCTTCCGTTCTACTGGTGTGTTTGGAGAAGCGGCCTCATGTCCAAGGCCACTATGTCACAGTGTCTAGAGAGACACTGCACACATCCTGCCAGCAGTACCCAGGGTTCCAATGTCTGCACATCCTCATAAACATGTTTTTATTGTTGTTTTGAGATAGGGTCTTACTACGTAGCCAGGGTGGCCCCGAATTCATGGCCTTCCTCCTGCCTCAGCCTCCCAAGTGCTGGGATTGCAGGCATTTGGGACCACACTTGGCATGAACACATTTTTTCCGTTTGCTTTGTTCCGGTGCTCAGCATCTAACCCAGAGCTGCAGCATGCTAGGAACGTGCTCCCCCGCAGCTGCGCCCTCTCTCTGGGCGGCCCCTTTACTCTAGTGTCTGTCTGTTTTTTGAGACAGGGTCTCACTATGTAGTTCAGACTGGCCTCAAACTCACAGTGATCGTCCCACCTCAGCTCCCGGGTGCTGGGGTCACAGATGTGTGCCACCGTCACTAGCTGTCTTTTTCCTCTATTAATTGTAGCTTGGAAAGCACAGAAGTTGTCACTTCCTGTGTCGCCTGTGCTTTGGATATCATAGCCAAGAAATCATGGCCTCGTCTGGGACACGCAGCAATTCTTGTTGGTTTTCTTCTACGGGTTTTATGGTTTTGGTTGTACATTTGGATTTTTAAATCCGTTTTGAGTTAGTTTTTCTATTTGGTGTAAAGCCAGAGTCTGGCTTCATTATTTATTTATTTGTGATGAGGTTGAATCTTTTGAACTGGAAAAAAAAAAAAAGAAAGAAGAAGTCTGAATTGAGAACTTTCAAAGATCGGTTTGTCATGGCTGACTGCTGTACTTGCTTAAAACTTTAGGAATTTCTCAGAACTCGGAGAAACTAAAAAAAAAAAAACTTTAGGAATTTCATGTCACCTTTGGTGACATCAGAACTTGGGCAAATCCTGGGAGGATTTTATATTTTACTTATTTATTTTTGTCTTTTTCCTTTTTCCTTTCCGGTACCAGGGATCGAACTCACAACTGCGTGCTTGCAAGGCAGGCGCTTATGCCGCTGAGCTATACCCCTAGCCCCTGTTTTCTTTTTTTTTTTTTTTTTTTTTTTTTTGTCTTTTTCCTTTTTATCGGTACCAGGGATCAAACTCACGACTGCCTGCTTTAAAGGCAGGCGCTTATGCCGCTGAGCTAAATCCCCAGCCCCGCCCCTGTTTTCTTTTTGAGACAGTTTCACTGTGCAGTTCAGGCTGGTTTTGAACTCTCTTTGCAGCCCAGGCTGGCCTCAAACTCACAGCCATCCTCCTGCCTCAGCCTCCCAAATGCTGGGATCACAGGTGTGCATCACCACCATGGCTGGCTTCTATCATTTTATTACTTTAGCGTTTTTTTTTTTTTTTTTTTTTTGAGACAAAGTCTTGGTATGTAACCCAGGCTGGGTTCAGACTCCCAACAATCTTTTTGCCTCAGCTGTCCAAGCTCTGGGATTACCTGGCATGTGAATATAATTATTGCCCTCGTTTTACAGAAGGGGAAACGTTGGGTTTAGGGGATTTAATCAGAGACCTACGTGTCCAGTTGTTTTAACAGGCAGTGGAGTGGGCAGGAAGAAGCATTTCACGTGGTGGACAATCAAAGCTGAGCCAAAGTCCACAAAGGCAGAGTCACAAGCCCTTGGAGAGCCCTCACCCTTCTCAGCATCGAGAGCCAGAGAACTCCCTGGGGCCTGTTCCGGGTCGTCACCCAGAGAACAAGGAATCCTGAGGAGGACCCTTGATTTTGAGAGAAAACCAGAAATCAAGGCAGGAAACTGAGGCAAAAAGTGACTCACCAGTGAGAATCCAGGCAGACTGGTGTTGGATGGAGCACCAGTCTGTTAGGGTTTTTTTGTGCAATTGAGGGGTGAAGAGATAAGAAGGCCCCTTTTATTCTTTGGTAGCGGGAATTAAACTCACGACTCCACCTTTGCTAAGCAGGCACTTAGGCCGCTGTGCCAACCCCCGACCCTAAGAAGGCCTTTACTGTGGGCACGGGAGGGCTGCAGGAGCTTGCAGGTTCCCTCTAACCAGGACAGCGGAGGTGGGGTTTTGTTAGGTCCAGCTGCAGGTGCAGTTTGGGAGGCAGGCAAGGTGACTTTAGCAGCTGATTGTGGGGAGGGTTGGGGCGCTGGAGAAGAGAAAGAGGAAGTTTATTTGGGGCTGAGGGGAGAAGAAAGATGGAGTTGGTATGCTTGTTGCTTTTGGCGATTGTTTTTTTTTTTTTTTTTTTTTCTACCGGGGATCAAACTCCTGAGCTGGCTCTTGCCAGGCAGGTGAGTATGCAGCTCAGCTACATCCCTGGCCTGTCCTTTTGAGACAGGGTCTTGCTATGCCGTTCAGGCTGGCCCTGGGCTCACTTTGTAGCCTAGGCTGCTCTTGAACTCACCCCAATCCTCCTGCCTCAGCCTCCTGAGTACCGGCTGATTTGGCAAATTTTATAGGGGCGGAAAAACCATCAAAACTGAGGCCCAGAGGATCAACTTTCTAAGACTAAGGCGCTGGTGTGCTCATTAGAGGGAGGAGCTGAGGAATCAGCAAAGTGAGTAGTGCGGGGAGATATTCATTCCTGCAGTGTATTTAGGTCACAGCAAAGTTAGATGCCACAGGCCCTGGTGACAAGTGTCCTGGGAGCAATGCCAGCAATAGCTGTTTCCTGTTCTGCCAAAAATGACCGTCCTCTAGAGACCCGGCTCCTCCCTCTCCCACCATGCAAGTTCCATTGTTACTTTGTTTTTACACAGCACCGAGCCTTCATACCAAACTGCATCCTCAGCCCTTTTAAAATTTATTTTGAGTTAGGGTCTTGCCAAGTTGTCCAGGCTGGGCTGGAACTTTCCGTCCTCCTGCCTCAGCCTCCCACAGTGCAGAGATGAGAGGCCTGGGCCACTACGCTTGGCACGATGCAAATTCTCTGGCTGGAAAGTTTGAGTTTACCAGGGGAAAAAAATCGAGTGTTTTTTTTCCCACCCGGTTTTCCCTAAGCAGCTGGAAACCCCGCCCTCGTCTCCATGGAGACGCGGGCGTTGCTAGGGGGCGGAGCTTGGAGGCCCCGCCTCCCGGAAAATGCAGCCTGGCATCTGATTGGGCGGCGGGCTCCGGAAAGTTTTGATGCCTGGAGGAAGTGGAGGCAGAGCGGCCTCGGGGCGCCGGGGGCCATGGAGGAACCGCGGGTGCGCGAGGAAGGCGAGGAAGAAGGGGAGGACTGCGAGGACGAGGCCGGGCCCGAGGGCGCCCTGGGCAAGAGCGCCCTGCAGCTGACCGCCGAGGATGTGTATGACATCTCCTACGTAGTGGGCCGCGAGCTGATGGCGCTGGGCAGCGACCCCCGCGTGACACAGTTGCAGTTCACAATCGTGCGCGTCCTGGAGATGCTGGAGACACTGGTGAGCGAGGGCGCCCTGGCAGCCGAGGCGCTGCGTCTGGAGCGCGACAGCCTGCAGCAGGAGGTGCGGGCGCTGCGCGGCCGGGCGCCCCCGGCCGGCGGCCAGGTGAGTGGGGAGAAAGGTCCTCACGTGCCCATAGTCCCCTGGCTCTCGGGAGGCTGAGGCAGGACGATCGCCGCCAGGTCGAGGCCAGCCAGGGCTACATGTGAGTGAGATCTAGTCCAGCGCGCACTACGTAGCCTGGCCGTGTCTCACACAAAGAAACAAACTCAGTGCAAGTACCCAGTCCTCAGATTAGAAACGTGTCAGAGGCTCCCACCCAGGCAGGTCCCTAAAACACACACCACCGGGTCCCTGCCGGGCTGCCTGACCCCAGAACCCAGTGGGACCTTGGAATCTGCATGTGTGACAGGCGCTCTCAAGAGGCTGCTGCTGCCTAACAGGTGTCACCTCGTGAGAAAGAGGAATTTGTGCCTGTGATCATGGAAAGATTTGTTCAAGGGCAGTAGTCACCATTGTGTCACACCGGAAATAACCCGTGTGCAACAGAAGAGGAGAGTTTTTTTGGTGGTTAATTTTGTTTTGTTTTCGTGCTGGGGATTGAACCCAGGCCTTCCCATATGCTAAGCAGCCACTAGCACTGAGTTACATCCTTCCTCTTTCTAGTTTTTATTTTGAGACAAGGTCTTTCTAAGATACCCAGACTAGATTCCAACTTGCAATCGTTCTGCCTCAGCCTTCTGAATAGCTGGGATTACAGGAATGTGCCATCTCCCCTGCCAGAATAGATTTGCAGAGTTGTCTATTTCTGCCCTGGAATTCTACACAACAATGAAAAACAGCAGAGCACTGACACACATACACAGTGGTATGCGTGAATTTCATGCGGGATGGGTTGAGAGAAGGAACCCAGGCACAGAAGAGAATCTGCTGTATATGTTTGTAAAAAATCAAGAATGGAGGGGCTGGGGATTTAGCTCAGCGGCATAAGCACCTGCCTTGCAAGCAGGCAGTCGTGAGTTCGATTCCCAGTACCAATAAAAAGGAAAAAGACAAAAAAAAAAAAATAATCAAGAATGGGGAAAGCAGTTTTAGTCACAAGGGGCAGAAAGGGAGGAGCAAGGGTACAGAGGGACACACAAAGGCATGCATGTGCTCTGTCTCACCTCATGGTGGCTATCCAGGTGTATAGCTGTGCTAATAAGCATCAAACTATAAACTCAGCACTGGTGAAACAACGAAGTTTGATTTTGTTCCACTCTGTAGTACTGGGGATTAAACCCAGGGGCTTGGCACTGAATTACAGCCTCAGAAGTTGCCACACTTCGTGATGGGGAGGAGCCCCATGGTCTGCACAGGGGCTGGGTGACGTCCATGAGACACCCAGTGGTCAGTGTCATTGGGCAGGAGATGAGATGGCACATTTTTCCCAGGGCCCCAGAGGAGGGAGGAGGCACTGGGCATGGCGGTGGATGCTTAGGATTCCTGCACTGTGGGAGGCTGAGGCAGGGGCATCACTTGTTGGAGCCCAACCAGCCCCTTGGTGAGACACTGTTTCAAAATAAAAAATAAAAAGGGCTGGGCCCAGAGGTCAGCCTGCAGGTCCTGTGTTTAGTGTCTAGGGCCAGACAAAGAATGGGGGCTGGGAAGAGGGCATGGACAGACAGAGCCAATTTTTTTTTTTTTTTTGGTACAGGAATCGAACTTATGTCCTCATGCTTGCCCAGCAGGCACTGTGCCACTGAGCTATATCCCCAGCCCAAGAGCCAACAGTTAGTGCCACCAGACAGTTCACTGAGATAGGCTGTGTTGGCTTTTGTTTTTGAATTATTTCTCTTTGTAGGAAAATCAGGCTGGGTGTGATGGCACAGAAAATACCCATTTTACAGAATTTACCATCTTCACCTTCTTCAGTGCACACACAGGTGCCGCTGATCACACTCCCTGTTCATCTCCAGAATGCATCATCTCGACAAACTGAAACCCTATTTCTCTCTACCCCATAGCTCTTTTCTACTTTCTGGGCTTCTGTTTTTGTTTTTAAAAGGTTTTCGTTTGTTATCTGTTTATTTTTGCAAGACTGGGGGATGAACCCAGGGCCTTGGCACTGAGCTCCATCTTCCGACCTTTTTAAAACAGGGTCTTGCTCAGTCACTGGATTGTCTAGGATGGACTCAAGCTTGTGATCCTCCCGCCTCAGTCTCCCAAGTGCCTAGAATTTCAAGAGTGCACCATCATACCTGTGGTTATTTTTTTTAAAGAAGAGACAGACATATTCCTGTTATTATTTTTTAAATTTTATTTAAAAGGAAAAAGAGAAAAAACAAAACAAAGCGGTGTAAGGGTTCAAGTAATACAGAACTACAAAAAAAAAAAAAAAAAAAAAAAAAAAACCAGTAAGAAATCACCAGTTAATAGATTACATATTATCATCTTAGAGATAGTTGCTCAAATCACGGTATCAAAGCATACAAAGTGGACATTCAAACAGAGAGACTGCAAACAGCTCTGTTCAATGATCCAAAAACATTAATATAGTCAGCTATTTAACACTCCTAAACACACTTGCTGTTGTATCCTTTAGAGTACTTTTTTCCCCCCTCTCTTTTTTACAACAAAATTTACACATTTTGGGTTTTATTACTCCTTAGTTCTTATTACTTTTTTTTTTTTTGGGGGAGAGAATAAAGTCAAATATGGCAAAACAAAGCTGTCAGTCAAAACCAAGGATAGACATAGCACATGATGTAAAACAGAGTACAAGGTTATCAACAATGTCTCGTTTTCTTAAAAAGAATTGTCTATCTCATTATATTCCTGTTATTTTTAAAATAATAATAATTATTATTATTTTGTCTTCTGAGACAGGGTCTCACTCTGCAGTTCAGGCTGCCTTGGGCTCACTTTGTAGCCCAGGCTGGTCTTGAACTCTCAGTGATGCCCTGGCCTCAGGCATGTGCCACCACGCTTGCTCATATTCCTTTTATATGTTATTAGTGTTTTGCGTGTCCTGGTGATGGCAGTGTCTGATTTTACTTGATCCCATCCTTGCCATGGCCTGAACCCTGTGGACTCCCTTCCCCCTCTCCCTTCCCCTCCCGCTGCCCATCCCTTTCCCCCTCTAAGGGGACGCCCTTGTCCATGGTCAGGGTCATCACTGGTATACAGCTCAGGCTGGATCTGCTCCCAAATCTTCTTCTTAGGATTTAGCCCCTCATCAGGCTGTCTGGCAAAAGCATCCAAAGCAGCTCTGGAGCCGGGCGTGATGGTGCATGCCTATAATCCCAGCACTCTGGAGGCTGAGGCAGGAGGATCACCATGAGTTTGTGCCCAGCCTGTCTCAAGAAAGCCAATAAATAAATAAATAAAGTAATTCTGTGTCTCAGATCCTGTCAGGAGGAGCCAGGATTTCAGCCTTCTCTGGTGAATTGCCCAAGACAGGAGCCATTTTCAGGGTGCAGAGCAAAAGCACCGTGGCATTTTGCCTGTGTCCGAAAGCAGCATGCTGACAGCTGTCCTGGGCCGGTGTCTGTCAGGCTGCTTCCTGCATAAAGGATGCGGCCATTTCAAGACCCAGCCGGAAGCATCTGTTGGCTTGGAGCTGGCTCTTCTCCTTTCACCTCCTCCTCCTCCTCCTCCTCTGTTCTCCTACCTGTTCCCTGGCACCAGGCGGTGGAGGTGATTGGTGTGGACTGCACCGCACTGTGAGCAGTGGCAGGACTGGCTTGTAGCAGCGGTAGGGCCGGCAGTGTCTGCTTCGCTGCCTTCTGAATTTCTGCCTGAATTAGCTCTGTTTAGTTCTTCAGTTATTTCTTTCAGTTTATTGTTTTTTTTTTTTTTTTTTTTTTTGTCTTTTTCGTTTTTATCGGTACCAGGGATCGAACTCACGACTGCCTGCTTACGAGGCAGGCGCTTATGCCGCTGAGCTAAATCCCCGGCCCCTCAGTTTACTGTTTTCAACTCCAAGTGTTTTCTATCAGTGTTGCCTGCAAAACTGCCCTCTCCTTCTGAAGGGCAGCTCGCTGTGCAGTAACTCTATCTGCCGCCTCTCCCTTCCGCTTCAGGGCTCCAGGCTCTTCGAGCCACCTCACTGGTTGTCATTTTGGACACCAGACAGCAGAAAATCATGACGAGGCGGACAGTGGTTCTAGGACAGAAGTGACACCATCCTGCACAGCTGGGCTGTTTTTCTTTTAATTTTAAAGTTGGGGTCTTGCTGTATTGCCCAGGCTGGCCTCAAACTCTTGGGCTCAGCTGATCTTCCTGCCTCAGCCTCCTGAGTCGCTGGGACTGTAGGCAGGCTCCACCATGGCTGGCTGGCTTTTTGTCTATGAGCACTTACTGGAGTCACAGTAATGGTTATTATTGGCAGGCTTATTTGGCTTAAGGCAGAGTCCTCAAGGTTCACCCCCGCTGTGGCATACCTCTGAATTTCTTTCTCTTTTCAGGCCCTGGGTGTACATCGTGTTCTGTTTGTCCAGCATTGCGTGTTGCACCCACAGCTGCGTCCACCTTTTGGCTGTCGTGTGCCATGCTAGTGTGAACATGGTTGACCGGCGCAGCTCCCCAATGAGACAGGAGACGCTCTTGTGGGCGACAGTTAACTGCTGGTTTATTTACAGGGGCTCTGGTTTATATATTTGGCCGTGACCAATCACAGGCTGCCACGAGGAAGCAGGGCGAGAATGGGACGCAGGCTCTGGCTACTATATCCAGCTGTGGCCAATCAGGAGTTGCCACAGAGTATGGAGTGAGCACGAAGTGCGCACGGGTTGGCTAATTTAAAGAGGGATGTAGCGCATTGCGGAAGCTGGCGTGGTCCTTAGTCCCGGGTGGGGTATGGTATGTTGAGCGCCTGCGCCCAACACATGGTCATGCAGACATCTCCTGGAATCCGTGCTTTTTAAAAAATTAATTTATTTTCAGCTCTAAGGACTGATTTTTGTTTTGTTTTGATACAGGATTTTGCTATGTAGTTCAGGCTGGCCTTGAACTTGCAGCAGTCCTCTTGCCTCAGCTTCCTGAGTGCTGGGATCGCCTGGCCCTTTTCTTGGACACATCTCTTAGAACTTTTTAGCCTTTATATTTGTGTGACTGTCTGCATCCCCAGCACTGCTTAGGCTGCAGCCTGCTCGGAGAAACCGTGTCAGTGGTGTCCTCTTTTCCAGGTGGACCTGGGGCCCGACAAGATGGTGGTGGACCTCACCGACCCCAACCGGCCCCGCTTCACGCTGCAGGAGCTCAAGGAGGTGCTGCAGGAACGCAATGCCCTGAAGGCACAGCTGCTGCTGGCCCAGGAGGAGCTGCGTGGCTACAGGAGGTGGGGAGCCTGGTGGGCGGGGCTACAGCGCAGCACAAGCTCCCCAGTTGGTCAGTCCATCAGTCAGCCATCGAAGAGGCGGGGCTTGGGAGATGCTTGGGCTCCACTAATATGGCGCTTGCACTGCCCAGGCTTGGCCAGACTCGGCCTGCTTTCCTCACTGGTTACTTGTTCCTAGGTTTCTTTAGTCCTTTTCCTGAATATCTCCTATGTGCTGGGCACTTTCTGGGCATTGAGGGCACAGCAGCGACTAAAACAGAAAGTAAAAGTCCTTGCTTGCCCAGTGCAGACCCAGGAAATCAAGCTGGGGACCTGGGAGCTGCATGTGATGGTGCATGACTGGCTGCACCCCCACACTCCAGGAGGATGAGTCATGAGCGTCTTGAATTCAACCCCAGCCTAGGCAATTTAGTGACTGGTGAGACCCCCATAATGAGAGTCAAACTGGGCTGGGGATGTAGCTCAGTGCAAAGGCCCTGGGTGCAATCCCCAGCACAGCCAAACAAACAAAAACGGAGCGTTTCGCCTCTCCTTCCTCTGACGGGCCCAGTGGGCAGGGGTCAGGACAGGAGTAAGCTGGGCTGCGGAGGCTGAGGCCGTAAGAGGCCACAACGCTGTGGTTTCTGGGCCCTTGGCTGCCACCTGAGACCATCGGGCTGTGTGGAAGGTCACAGAGAGGTGACGTGAAGACCTGGGTGCCCCTGGAGAGGTGCCCCTGGGTCCACAGGCTGCGGGAAACCAGAGCCCGCCCGGGCACCGGGGCCGCAGTGACACACCAGAAGGCGTCATGGCTTCTCCACTGCTGAGCTTTAGGGACAACAGGGGAGAGAAACTGGGCAACGCTACTTATCCCGGGACTGAACACACGGCCCGTGGTCTTCCACTGACCCGCGTCCTGGGCCCTCTTCGATTTTTATTCTGAGACATGGTCTTGCTCAATTACCTGACCTGGCTTCTACTTGAAGTCCTCCTGCCTCGTCCTCCTGAGGAGGTGAGGTCACAGGCACCCGCCACCTGCTCCCAGCGCGCTGGTATCATTTATACGGCACCAACCAAATCAGGAGGCCGCGCCTTCATGAGCCAGTTCACCTGATCACCTCCAAAGGCCCCGCTGTCCAATGCCATGTGGAAGTGAGGGCCCCAACACAGGCATTTTGGGGGGGTTTAATTCAGTTCAGGTGCAATGGTGCATACTTGTAATCCCAGCACTCAGGAGGCTGAGGCAGGAGGATCACCATCGGTTTGAGGCCAGCCTGGGCTGCTGAGTGAGACCCTGTCTCAAAAACAGTCAATTCAGGGCCAGAGACATGGCTTAGCAGCACAGTGCCTGCCTGGCAAGCGTGAGGCCCTGAATTCGATTTCTAGTATCAAAAACAAACAAATAACCAGTCAGCTCAGCAGGAAGCATGGTGGGCATAACTGACCAGCGGGCACACCACAAAATGCCTATTGCACTTGGGCTTCTTTAGATATCTTTTTTTTTTTTTTTTTTTAATCTTTTTCGTTTTTATCGGTACCAGGGATTGAACTCATGACCGCACACTTGCAAGGCAGGCGCTTATGCTGCTGAGCTAAATCCCCAGCCCCTAGATACCTTTTTTTTTTTTTTTTTTTTGAGACATGGTCTTGCTGTGTAGCCCAGGCTGGTCTCAAACTGATGGCGATCCTCCTGCCTCAGCCTCCTGAGTGCTGGGCTCATAGGCATGCACCATTGCACCCAGCAGGCAGCAGGTGAGGAAGCTGCTGCTCTCCTCACCATGTGGGCTGGGAAATGGGCTTTCACACTAGAGAATGTATATGCGTCTGTGCCAAGGCAGTGGGGAGCTCAGGTTCCTAGCCAGTTCCACAGCCGGGAAAGAGCAAGGCCCGGATGACAGAGCCGCTGGCCTGCAAATCCTTCAGAATCTGCTGCCTGCGTCACAGTTAAGCGTTAGGACCCTGCACTTCCGCAGTGGTGTAGATGTGAGACCTGCAGAAAAACAACCCGCTTCTTTGCCCTCCTTCCCCAGTGGCCTGATTCCCCCAAGAGAAACCCCGGATGGAAGACAAGCAAAAGAGACCAGTGTCACCAGGGCCAGAGGTCCCGAGCAGGGCAAGGGGGAGAGGACGATCATGAAGAAGCTGTGAGTCACCTGTGTCCCTTCTGCTGCTGAATGAGGCGGGCAGGGGCTGAGGGAGGGATGCTGGCAGGGGCTGGGGAGGTCTCCTCTCCCTGAGGCCAGCCTGAAGGGTTTCGCTGTGGAACCCAAGCTGGCCTCAATGGCACAGCAATCCTCCGGCCTCAGCCTCCCCAGGGCTGGAATTACAGTTTGTGCCATCATCCCTAGCTGTGGTCCAAAAGTATATTTTTTGGCGTTTTAAAAAATTTCATCAATATGTTATAAATCTACAAAATGATAATGTTTATCACAGGGAATTTACACCTGTACGTAGTTTGCTGCTTTTTCCATGCCCTTCCCCTCCCTTCAACCCCTCTCCCCCTCCTTACTGACAAAAGCTTCAGTTCCATTTTCTCCACCTATTTTTTTCTTGTCTCTTCTTTCAATCCTTCCCCCTCCTTTGCTCCTCCTCTCAGTTGAACATTTTCTTCCCATTTCCCAATATCTTTATACATTTTATACACTTTGAGACCATAATCTTAAGTGAAATAAATCAGACGTGTGCTAAAACGTTGCATAACTTAAATGAGAAATCCAACGTATGAGTAATTTTTTAAAAATGAAAGAATAGGAAATAGGGAGATAGAGCTTTTGCTTGCAAAAAAGCAAAGGGGACCAAGAGATGAAGGGGGGAGGCACAGGAGGAAGATGGGTTACACACTGCACGGCTCCCCAGGATGGATGTGACCACCGTGCAGGCCACTCATCAATAAATAAAAGATAAACAGAGAAATGGGGCTCCTGGCCCTGCCCCTCTCAGGACCCTGGCAGTCCCAGGGCTCTGTCCCCAGGGCAGGATCGGGGCACATGTGGCTGGCAGCTGCTGGTTCTTATTTTTTTTTCATGAGGATTGAATCCAGGACCTTCACATTGAGTGACATCCCCAGCCCTCTTAATTTTAATTCTTTTGTGGGGACAGAGTTTTGCTAACTTGCTGCATTGCCAAGGCCGAGCTCAAATTTGCAGTCCTCCTGCCTCAGCTTTCCTGAATGCTGGGGTCACAGGTGTGCTCCACCCTTCACTAGTTTGTTTGTTTCTTGTCTTGGGGTCTCACTGTGTTGCCCAGGTTGGCTCCAAACTCCTGAGCTGAAGCAGTCACCCCACTTTGGCCTCCTAGAGAGGTGGGATTATAGGCACCGCCACTTTTTCCATTGTGGGTTTGTTTTTTTTTTTTTTTTTTTTGTACTGGGAATTGAACTCAGGACCTTGTGCTTGCCAGGCAGGTGCCTGTGCCACTGAGCTACATCACTGGGTTCCTTTCCAGCATTTTTGCTTTTTTTTTTTTTTGGTCCTTGTATAAGGCATGTAAGCATTTTTGCTTTTTAAAAACTGTTTTTGAACTTCAGCAGTAGGGTACAGTGAATGATTTTTGCCTCATCCCACAGCCTGTGTTTGTTGGGGCCAGGCGGGCGCAGATTTTTGCAGGTGAAGCTTTGAGATTAAAAAAGGTATCTGCGGGGCTGGGGATTTAGCTCAGCAGCCTAAGCGCCTGCCTTGCAAGCAGGCAGTCATGAGTTTGATCCCCAGTACCGATAAAAAGGAAAAAGACAAAAAAAAAAAAGAAAAAGAAAAAGAAAAAAGGTATCTGTGCAAGACATCAGCAATACACAACAGCAAGGAGCAGAGCAGAGCACAAGAGCAACTTGCGTCTTTATTGTTTAATTCTTACACATGCTGTCATCACTTATTTACATTCCTGCATGCAGGCCTGCCCAGCGCATACGTGGTTGTCTCACGCTAAGTCACAGTTAGAGAAGCATCTCACTCTGCGCCTGTGTTGACAGCGGGTTCAGGTCCTCGGATGCCCCAGCTCTGAAGCTGTCTGGGGCAGTCCTGCCCAGCACCGTTAGTGGAAAACACCTTTCTTGCTCATTGTAATTTTTTTTTTTTTTTTTTTGAGATAGAGTCTTGGTACATAGTCCAGGGCAGCTTCAAATTTGAGGACTCCTCCTGCCCCAGCCTCCTGTGGGCTGGGATTACAGGAGTGCACCACATCCTGCTCAGTTTACGATCTGCTGGAATCCTTAGTGTTCACTTCCAAGGGTTTTCATCGTCTCAGAAGGAAAGTACACATGAACAATAATACTTTATTTTCCTTTCCTCCAGTCACTGGCTATCTTGAGTCTCCTTTCTGTGACTTGACCTATTCTGAGGTCATTTGTTGGTCTGCTTTCCTGGCTTCTGTCACCTGTGATTATGTCCTTAAGGGTCGTCCGTGATACAGAATGTGTTTGTCTCAAAAAATCAAACAGCAACAACAACAAAAACGAACCCAGAAAACACAGACAGGCTCAGGACACGAGGCCTGGGTTTTGGGCCAGGCAATGTGAAATAAAAAGCTGACCGTAGCGGTGCATACCTGTAATCCCAGCACTCAGGAGGCTGAGGCAGGAGGATTGCCATGACTTTGATGTCAGACTGGGCTACACAGTGAGTTCAAGGCCAGCCTGAACTATGTAGCAAGACCCTGTCTTAAAACAAAATACAACACTTTTTTTAAAATCAGTTCTAGGGGCTGGGGATTTAGCTCAGCGGCGTAAGCACCTGCCTTGCAAGCAGGCGGTCATGAGTTCGATCCCCGGTACCGATAAAAAAGAAAAAGACAAAAAAAAAAAAAAAAAAAAAAAAAAAAAAATAAAATAAAATAAAATCAGTTCTAAGTGCTGGGGGCACAATAGTTTGCAAGTCCCAAAAATTCTAATATGGACAACAGGACCGGAAACAGCAGCAGAAATAAAACCCACAGGCTAGTTCAGATCCCCTAAGTGACCGAGCATCCATAACGGCTGGGCTGCAGTCCTGGAAGGCCGCTGGAAGAGGTGACTTTTAAACTGAGCCCTGAAAGACAACAAAGGCTGAAGACAGGCAGGATGGGGGCGTGGAGGCCACAGATGGTTTAGGGAACCGGCTTCCTGTAGCTGGACAGCGTGGAGTGGAGGTGAGCGTGGAGAGGCCACTGGAGCCTGATAAGGTTTGGGGTCTTATTCAAAGTGGACAGGGGGAACACAGGGTTTTTATTCCCCAGTACTGGGGAACGAACCCAGGGCCTTTGCACTGAGCTACGCCCCCATCCCTTTCTAAAGTCGCTGTGTTTTGATTCAGCATCTCACTGAATTTCCAAGTTGCCCACACTGTGCTTGAGCTTGCAATCCTCCTGCCTCAGCCTCCAGTGGTGTGGGGATTATAGTCTGTGCCCCCACAACAGGCTCTAGAGGACTTCTTTTGTCTCTTCTTTGGATTTCGAGCCCAGTGTGGCAAAGATGAGAAGGCATGTGCTTGAGGCAGGCTGAGGATGTGTGCAGGGGAGACTGAGGCCCGGCTGGAGGCAGCAGAGGCAGGTGATGGGCAGTGGGATGAGGGGTACATCTGGGGCAATGGCGCACAGCCTGAGGTTTCTGGTGTGAACTGGGGGTGTCATTTCCCCTCAGGAACAAGTGGCTGGGGAGAAGCGTGTGTGTGGGTCTAGGGGACAGGGGCCAGCAGGTCCCCAACACCTGCATCCCATGCCCAGGACAAAGTGCCAGGGATGGGATCCAGGGCCTCTGCCCTGAGCTGCATCCTGGCCTTTGTTTATTATTCTGAGATAGGTTTTTGTCCAGGATGGACCTGAATTTGTGATCTCCCTGCCTCAGCCTCCCAGAATGATGGTATTATAGACATATACCCCCACTACAACCAGCTCTGTTTTCAAATTATAGATACCACGAAAGGTTATTTTTTCCTCTACCATAAATCCTCCTAAAATTTAAAACACAAACAAAAACAAATGTTGGACACCATCTGTTGGGACAGCACCATGACTTGTGTGGGTCTGGACCAGACTCCTGGTCACACAGCCCACAGTGCAACCCTGGGCTCATTGCTTAGCCTCCCAGGACCCCAGTTTGCTCATTTATTAAACATGAATCAGCCAGACGTGAGAATGCACACCTGTAACCCCAGCTATTAGGGAGGCAGAGGCAGAAGGGCTGCAAACTGTAGGACAGCCAGGCAGTTGGCAAGCCCCCGTCTCAAAAAAAGTAAACAGAAAGTTCTGGGCTGTAGCTTAGCCGAAGAGCACTGGCCTAACATACCTGAGCCCCTGGGTTAAATCCCTAGTACCTGAAGGGAATAAAAAGAGATATTAATAGTGTGCCTGTCCCCTAGGAAGCCATACATAATAGAAGGAAATCAATGATGGAGGAAGAGGAGGAAAAAGAAGTATGTGTTCATATACCAGCTCCCAAGGATGAATGCAATCATGCACTGCAAACATGGACTAATAAAAAGTAAAAAAGAAAAGTTTAGGGCCTGGCATGGTGGCACACACCTGTAATCCAGCACTCAGGAGGCTGAGGCAGGAGGATCACCATGAGTTTGAGGCCAACCTGGGCTGCATAGTGAGACCTTGTCTCAGCCAAAAACAAAAAAAGTTTGGAAACAAAACGAACGCATGAAGCTGAACAAGTACTAGAGTCCCTGGGCCTCACAAGCTGCCCACAGTTTGCTCACCCTGCCCTTTCTCTCCGCCCAGGTTCGCTTTCCGGTCAGGGAAGCAGACCTAGATGGAAGGCCAGTCAAGCAGCAGCCCTGATCAGAGGAGACGACATCTGCCTGGCACTACAGAGCCATCTCTGCCAGTCTCTGCTGCGCCCCTTGCTTGTCCCCGGAGTGCAGGTCCTCGTGTGATTCTCCTCGTGCAGACCTGGACCCCCCAGGGAAGTCTGTCGGGGGACACAAAGCATCGGCAAGGAGGCCTGGGAACAGAGGCAATGTGTGTGTGACAGGGCCACCTCTCGCCTGGCCGCCAGCCCTACAGCCACAGTGTGCAGACTGCCCTCAACACAAGATGGGGCAGAGAAAAGAAAAACAAGATAGTAAGAAATATGGCATTGACTTTGCAATGGTGATTTTGACTTCACTGATATTTAGTGAATATCAGATTCTGCTCTCCAGACTTGCTTTCCATGATCTTATATTAAAAGTCAAATGATTTTTATACTTTCTATAGCTCACTTAGTGGTCACTCTCTTTTATGTGTGCGTGTGTCATGCTGGAGATTAAACCCAGGGCCTTCACATTGAGTCATAGCCTCAGACAAGGCCTCCCTATGTAGCCCAGGCTGGCCTCAAACTAATGGCGATCCTCCTGCCTCAGCCTCCCAAGGGCTGGGATTACAGGCATGCGCTACTATGCCTGGCTCAAAAATTTTAAATTTTGAGCCAGGGTTTTGCTAAATCGCCCAAATGAGACTCGAACTCGCGACCCTATTGCCTCAGCTTCCCTGTGTGTCTCGCCGTGCCTGGTTTAGAGTTGCGATGGTGTATGTAAGGGTATTGTGTCCTGTATTCGCCACAGTCTAAGTGTCTGCACCATTGTATCTGTCCTATAAAAGGAAAAAGGACTGCAAAGTCCATGCTGCTGATTCTGAGGCTCACTTTGTTTTCATAATGTTAAGACACGAGAACAGAACGTGTGCTTGGGAATCAGGGATGCAGCAGACGGTGGGGGGGGGGGGGCGAGGAGCCGGGCTCCTCCTGGCCCGCGGAACGGACTCCTGGCACCAGGGCTCATCCGACGGTTCCCGTCCTAGTTACTCCCTCGAGGCGAGGACAAAATACCCGGGCTGCAAGCTAAAGGAGAAAAGGTTTACTTGGCTCACAGTTTACGAAGGTCTCCACCACAGAAAGGAAAACCTCAAGTCAACGCAGATGGGAAGCAGAGCCGGATCAGTGGAGGGACGCACGCACGCAAGGACGCACGCACGCAAGGATGCACGCACGCAAGGACGCACGCACTTGCGCCCTTCCAGGCCACGCCCCCGGCGACCTGCTGCTTCCCACCAGGGTTCACCGTCCAATGTCACATCAGCTATGCAGACATCAGTGGCTGATTCAGTGTCACACACCCATGATCCATGTTACACTCCCATGGGCCAGTGCTACACAACCACAGTCCACTGATACACTCTTGGTCCAGTGTCACACACTCATGTTCTACTGACACAAGCATGGTCCAGAGTCACATCCACCGTCCGGTGTCACACACCCGTGACCAGGTTACTCCTTAAAGCCCCACCTATGAACACATAAGGTTTGGAGCCTTAACAGATCTATGTAACTCGGGGAGTCTAGGACTTGTTCTGATCCCTCAATTTACTTCAGAAATAGGCTCTGGGGGTTTAAAGGACCCCAAGTGAGGCCACAGGGCTACAGAGCCAGGACGTGGCCACGCAGGGTGCAACTCAGCACTGTGTACCCTGCCTTTCCATCAGCACTGATGCTAGGACGCCGTTCCCGGAGTGCTATCGCCGACTGCCTCTGAGGTCCCTTTTTGGTTTTGGGTTTTCGAGATAGGGTCCCACTAAATGGCCCAGGTTGGCCTTGAACTTTAAATTATCTTCCTGCCTCAGCTTGCTGAGTGCTGGGATTACAGGGGTGCCCCACCATGCCCAGCCTTCTTAGGTACCTTACCCATGTTGTCTCCTGTGCATCAAAAAGGTGGGGCTCATGAATGTTTTGGCGTCTACCTCAGGCAGTTTAAACAGCCAGGGCTCCAGCTAAAGCATGCTCAAAGTAGGACTTGCCCTCAGCATGAATTCTACAACCCAGGCCTTGGCCATGTGCCACCATGGAAGGGAACAAGTGGTGTCTTCACAGGTCACTAGATCCAGGGCTCATGATTTCTAGAACCCTGCAGAACGCTGTGATTTAATGGGGGTAGGTGGGAGGAGTTTCTCACCTTGGAGGTAAGCACCAGCTTGGGAGGTAAACTATGCATCCCAGCTTTGCAACCACAGAAGGGACTGTCCCAGAGGCAGACCCCAGAAGACTTCCTGAGCCAGAGGTAGCTTCTGGCATCTGCGGATACCTGAACTGTCCTGCTGATTTCCATGTACAGAGCCCAACATGGCTATAATACAGATGTAAGAATATTGCATAGCTCTCGGCCAGTTTTTAATTCAATTTTTTGTTGTTGTTGGGGAAAGGGCCTCACCATGTATCCCAAGCTACCCTTGAATTCGCAGTGGTCCTCCTGCCTGTCTCCCAAGTGCTAGGACTATAGATGTGCACCAAACATGCCCGGCAATCAGCCTTTTTTTTTTTTTTTTTTTTGGTCTTTTTGAGACAGGTTCTTGCTTTGCAGTTCAGACTGGGCTTGAGCTCACTTTGTAGCCCAGGCTGATTTTTGAATTCTCAATTCAAACTCAGGAGGCTTAGGCATCCTGAGTACTGGGATCACAGGCATGCATCACCACACCTGGGTTAATCAGCCATTTTTATGGTTTCCCAACAACACATTCTCCTGGCCTGCTATGGTGGTTCACACCTGCAATCCCAGCACTAGTGAGACCTTAGAAAATAAAGAGGGGCCAGAGATTTAGCTCAGTGGTGCAGCACCTGCCTGACAAGCCTGAGGTCCTGAGTTCAATTTCTAGTACCCAAAAAATAAAAAATAAATAAAGAGCTAGGAATGCAGCTCAGTGCTAAGGCCCTGGGTTCAACCTCCAGAACCACACACATCAGATACCCTCCTGCCTTCTCCCTCAAGGAGATAGACAGGGCAAGAGAACATGCTTAAAAAGCAATGCCTGATTAAAACTGAGGTGGAACCAGCTGCAGTGATGCACAACTGTAATCCCAGCACTCAGAAGGCTGATGCAAGAGGATCACAGTTCGAGGCCTACCTGGGCTACATAGTGAGTTCAAGACCAGCCTGAACTACATGGTGAGACCCTGTCTCAAAAAAAAAAAAAGGAAAGATTGCACTCGGAACTCTACTTTTCTCCGCTGGAGTTCCGAGGACTGGCTGGAAAGCATCTCTTGGTGATTCACTGGGGGCAAGTGTGTCCCTGAAGGTAAATCCTGGAAGGCAAATCTCGGAGCCTTTTTGTGCAGAGGCAAAGCTGTGCACCCCAGCTCCAACTGTGCCCACTCTGGAAGGTTCCAGCCACAAATCCAGCACTGGCAGGGGATGGGGGGAATCGGGCTTGAAGCCATTTTTTGAAGGACCCAGGAGTGGTTGCCATGGCAATATCTTTTAAATGTGAACAAATTGGGCTAAGGATTTAGCTCAGCATTGTAAGCACCTGCCCAGCAAGCATGAGGTCGAGTTTGATTCTCGGTTCCAAAAAATTTTTAAAAAGTAACAAATTAATACATCAATTAAACATCAGACCTCGGAGGTTGTGAGCACTTGTAAATGGTAAATGGTACTGGGGGGCGGGGGGTGCCACACTGCTTGCTGTAAACCCAGCACTCCACAGGCTGATGCAGGAGGATGGACACAAGTTACAGGACGGCCTGGGCTACAAAGGGAGTTTGAGGCCAGCCTGAACTGCACAGTGAAACTTTGTCTCAAATAAATAATAATAAAACTGACCAAGCTTGGAGGTGTACACCTATAATCTCAGTACCCAGGAGGCTGAGGCAGGACAGCTGGCAGTCTGAGGCCAGCCTGAGCTACTTAGTGAGATCCTATCTCAAAAAAACAAAATGCAAATAATAAAGGGTAGTGAGCACCCAATCTTTAATCCCGTTAACACGGAACAGCAGGGACTGAGCACTACTATCATGCAAGGCACAAGTCTAGGTGCCTTCATGGGCTCGCTTTTCAGATCCTCACGTTGCCCCCAACACACTACTGCCTCCACACCACAGAGAAGGAAAGGACACCTGGTGACACAGCGAAGTGGCCTGGAGCCAGAGGTGCTGTTCTAGGGCCTGGGAGTAAAGCTGCAGGCAGCACTGTGCCCTCCAGGGTGATGACTGAGTCCCAGGATGCCTCAGAGGGCAGACAGGTGAGCCAGCTGCTCCTACTGGAGGGACAAGTTTCAGCTGTCACAAGGCGGACACTGTGGGAGCAGCTGCCAGATGTCTAAGCCGAGGGCGCCCCCCCAGGCGTACACCTGACAGAGCTGAGTCACTGAAGACCAAGTCTGCAAAGAACTGCCAAGGTGAATGGCAGCTGCAGCGGCTGACAGGAACTTCCCAAGGGCTCTGTCCACACATATCCACCTCCATCTCTACAAGTGCCCCTGACAGGGGAGGAAACTGAGGCATGAGCTTGCTGGTGACCTGCACTACATAGCGAGATCCTGTCAAAAAAAAAACAAACCAGCCAGGCACGGTGGCGCACACCTGTAACTCCACCACTTGGGAGGCTGAGGCAGGAGGATCGTTTCGAGTTCAAGACCAGCCTGAGCTCAAGGCCAGCCTGAACTGCATAGTGAGACCCTGTCTCAAAAAGACAAAAAAAAAAAAAAATCCCACCAAAAACAAAAACACCGAGCAGGGCACAGTGGCACATGCCTGTAACCCCAGCAATGGGGAGGAAGAGGCAGGAGGATTGCTGTGAGCTTGAAACTGGCCTGGACTACAAACTGAGATCCCGTCTCAAAAACATAAAGATTGGGGATATGGCTCAGTGGGATAGCACCCGCCTGGCAAGTGCAAGGTCATGAGTTTGATTCCTGGTACTGAAGGAAAAAAAAAAAAAAAAAAAAAAACCAACCCAAAGACCATGTGAACCCTCACAGCCTAGCCACGTGGTGGTGTAAAACAGGAAATCAAATCCTGCCCCTTTTTCTACCTCTGCCTGGTAAAAACAGAGAAACACATAGGTGGCCTCGCCTGGCAATAAATATTTTAATTTTTGTTTCATTTTTATGATGACAAATTTTTTTCAAGTTTATTTCCTTTTTTGTTTGTCTGCTTAAATACAAAGCGAAACTGCAAACAGGTACAACTAAGACATCATCTCTCAAAAGGTTGCGCTCTGGTGGGGACAGGGCGGATCTTCCTGGGGCACTGGCCAGGCTGGGGCAGGGAAGACTCTCGCTAGCACCGGCGGGAGGGGGGGACCCGGGCCCCAAGGACCCTGGCATCCATAATCAGTCCCCCTGGGAGGGAGGCAACCACCTGCTCCTGACGGGCCCTCAAGGTGAGCCCTGAGCCTTGTCCATGTGCCTGCGTGGCTGGGCAGGGGTCTGGGCCCCACCTTAGCTCCTCTGTCCTTGTGGCAGGGACACCAGGCGGTCTAACACACGCGAGGCCCCGACAGCAGGTCTGGAACTCTCAACCCAGCGGTGCCGGGTGGGCAGGAGTGGGGAGTCATTTCTGGTCCCACTACAAAACTTTATTTTTTATTAGAATAGAGAACCATCTCAAGTCTCTTCTACAAAAACAAAACCCCAAACCCTAAAATTAAAACCAATAATGCAGCCACTTCACTCATTTCAAGACCTATATACAAGTTGTTTTCCTTTTTTTTTGAGACAGGGTCTCACTATGTAGTTCAGGCTGGCCTCGAACTCACTATGTAGCCCAGGCTGGCCTCAAACTTGGGGCAATCCTCCTGCCTCAGCCTCCCGAGTGCTGGGATTACAGGCATGCACCACCACGCCCGGCAAGTAAGTTGTTTTCTGTGGGCTTTTTTTTTTTCCTTTTTTCTTTTTTTAAAATTTTTTTTGTCCCATTTTTTATTTTATTTTATTATTATTATTATTTAAAATAAACTCAGTGTTCACATTTCTATAAAGAATGAACCCAGATTCGGGCAGCCCTGCCGGCCTCTAGCGTGAGTCTCTCCAGTGCTCTGGGAGACCCCGAAAAGCAGCAGTCTATGGAAGAGCAAGTTCATGCCTGGCCCATGCGCCTGGGCCTAGGAAGCTTTCAAGAAAGCAGAGGGGAAGACGAGCTTACTGCGAACCCTTCTTTTAAAAAAAGATTCATACGCTTCACGGTGAGCCTATTAGACATGAGAACAAGAGCTTGGAGACATCCCGGGCAGGCTGTGGGGGCAGCGCCTTGCCTGTCCTTGGGGGTGGGTTGGGGGGGGGTCCTGGCTCTGAGGCTGAGGCAGGAGGGTCTCGCCCAGCTTCCTAGTTCATGTTGGACTCTTTCCTCTAAAATCTGTGCCGAGTCTTTGACTGCATGCACGGAAGCACAAATGCTTGACTTGTATGCAAAAAAGGTACAAAATCAACTAGGATATAAAAGTTTTGGTAATATAAGGCCATCTGTTCAAGTCCACCTTGGAAACCTGTAACAGATATTTAAATACTACAGTGAAAAGGCATCTTAATATACTTTTTTTGTTTTTAAAAACATCTGATGTAATCTGCTAAGATTAAGTGTGTAAAAACAAAAACAAAAGAAAAAGAAAACACCCCATCTCCCCTGGAGGGCACTTTGTCCTTGAAGAGGGAGGGCGGCGAGTGGGCGCGATGGTCAATGCTTCAGCCACGGGTAGGCCTCGATGGACGCCTTGCTGCGGTCCCCGTAGTCGTACAGCAGCTCCTCCCCAGCCGCGATGTCCCGGGAAGCCACGAGGATGAGGTGCGGCACACCAGCAATGTCGTGCAGCTTGGTCTGGCAGTTCCCGCACTTGCTGTGGTTGATCAGCCGGCCCAGGCGGTTGGTTTCCCTCGTGGCATCCACGCTGCCGGGAAGGGGGGGCTCGACTGAGAAAGAGGCTCTGGGCCCAGCCAGGGTCACCTGGGCTCGGCCCAGGCGGGATGGACGATTTAGGGCCATTCCGGGCTTCTGCAGCCAGGTGTGGCAACCCAGGTCTGGCACCCCGGCACTTGAGAGGCTGAGACTGGAGGATCACCTAGGGTTTGAGGCCAGCCTGGGCTACATCACAATTCTATCGGGGCTGGGGATTTAGCTCAGCGGCATAAGCGCCTGCCTTGAAAGCAGGCAGTCGTGAGTTCGATCCCTGGTACCAATAAAAAGGAAAAAGCCAAAAAACAAACAAACAAACAAACAAAAAAAAAAAAAAAAAAACAATTCTATCTCAACCCACTCTCAACACCAAAAAGCTGTTTGTGAAGCTGGGTGTGGTGGTGATGGCCGTAATCCCAGCACTTGGGAGGCTGAGACAGGAAGATCACTGTGAGTTCCAGGCAAGCCTGAACTCACTGAGATCTTGTTTAAAAAAAAAGCAGCAGCTGTGTCTTTCAGAGAGGTCCTAGGTATCTGGGTGAGGGACTTGGAGACAGTGGGGTGGGTCCCAAGGGCTCTTTTGCCATCATGGTGCTGGGGATGGGGCCAGTGCCAGTGCTTCCTGGACACCAGGCAAGTGCTCTATCTCTGAGCCGGACCGCCAGCTCTTTTTTTGAGCCAACGTCTTGCTGACTCGCTAAGGTTGGCCTTGAACTTGAGATCCTTCTGCCTCCCGTATGGCTCAAAGGATCCCTTATGGAAGCACGAGAAACAATGGAGACTTTTATAAAATAAATAAAGCAGTTTCCACAGCTGTTCTCACCAAACACCAAACACCCTATGCCCTATCGGGGAGAGGCCAGGGGAGCTGCCGAGTGGGCTTCAATGTGACAAGTCCGCCCTGGGTGAACGGGCACCAGGGCAGCTCCAGCTCCAAACACCGGAAGAGCTGTGTCACAGCTTTGAGAAAGGGCAGCTTTGGGGCTCCCCAACCCTGCAGCTCATCCTCTCGGCTCTGGGGAAAAGCCATGCAACAGCAAATACACTTAGAAGCAGGGCTCAGCAGCACACCCCTATAAATCCCACCCTCGGGAAGCTGAGGCCACTGTGAGTTTAAGGCCAGCCTGGGCTACATAGCCAGACCTCATCTCCAAAAATAAAAACCACCTGGATCCCAGCACTCAAGAGGCTGAGGCAGGAGGATCTGCACTGATCCGAAATCAGTCTGGGCAGGGGATTTAGCTCAGGGGCACGAGTGCCTGCCTGGTAGGTGTAAGGTCATGAGTTCCATCCCCAGCACCTAAAAAAAGATCACCCAGGGTTACAATGAACTGCAGGGCCAGACCCTGTCTCAAAAAATAAACAAAAACCAAGCCAACCAAAACACCGTCCGCTTACCAGTAGGTCTTGCTGAGATACTGAAAGTAGTACATGTAGCAGCCCGTGGAGGGGTCCTGCGCGTACAGCGCCTCTCGCTTCTTGGCGTCGGTGATCTCGATGAGGTCCCCGTGGTACTCCACCACGAAGTCGCCCCGGGAGAACTGCTTGGTGGCGATCACGCCCCTGCCCTTGCCGTCGATGAGGTCAATCTGTCAGGAGGGGGTGAGAGTTGGTTTGCAGTGGTGACCAGAAGCCGGCAGGCACAGCAGCCCTCCGGGGGCCGAGACCCTCGCCACCTGCCCTGCCAGCCTTACCCAGGGGGCTCCACCAAAGTGAAGTCCACGGTCTTGTGTGCTGGAGGGGAGGGATTTTCTAAGTGCACACAATTGTTCGAGGTGTGAAGGGGAACCATGGGGAATGTTTAATTTGTTTTCTTTCTTTTTTGTTTTTTTGAGACAGGCTCTCACTGTGCAGTTCAGGCTGGCCTTGAGCTCACTTTGTAGCCCAGGCTGGTCTCAAACTCACGATGATCCTCCTGCCTCAGCCTCCTGAGTGCTGGGATTACAAGCATGCGCCACCAGACCCAGCTTAAGTTTTTTAAAATGTATTAAACTGAAATGTACACTGCCATGAATCCCTTCCTAAGGCCTCCCCTCACCTCAAACACAGTAGTCCCGTGGTTCCCGCCATTTGCTGAAGCGTATCCATAAGTGCTCTTTCCTGAGTCTGTAGTTGTGTCGTTGTGACTGCCGTATGCTCTGAATCCATTCAAAAGGTTTGTAATTCAAGGTCATTTTGACCTTCGGGAAGAGCCACAAGCTGCCCAGTGTCACATCCAGTGAGCAGGGCAGGTGAGCAAACACAGTGTCTCACAATGGTACCAGTGTGTTCTGTATTTTTTAAGTCATATTGTACAGCTATACAGGGAAGAACCACTTCTAGCACCACTTCAGAGAGGGCTTAGAACAAGAGGCTGGCACTCCATCCAACCCTCAAGGCACCTGCCTCATGTCAGGAAAACGCTGTCACATCAAACCCTCAGCAGAGCTGGAACGGGTGCTGCCCCATTTTGCAGATGAGGAAACTGAGGCTGAGAGAGGCTGAGCCATATGTCCAAAGCCACACAGCCAAGAAGTGGTGTGGCAGACATTCGGATCCATAATGCCCTATACTGTCTGGAGCAGTGCCAATATCTCCTTCATGTCACCATCCCTCACCAGTGTCTGTGACACATGGAACTGGACAGCAGTAACTGGAGGGGCCTAGGATGTAAGTTTGGGTTCCCATGGATTTGGTGCAGAGCCCGTGGCCACCTCACCCTGGAGTCAGGGCTCTTCCCTGTGCCACCTGGGCCACACATGTGTGCAACATGCCGAGTAGTCTGGGTTGCAGGTCGGGGAGCAGCAGAGTTAGATTTGGGACAGAATTCTGTTTCTCTTTGTACCCACACAGCACGTCACGTGAAGGGCACTGGACACAGCCAACCCCACAGCATGGGATCCCACTGACCGGAAATGGACAGAAGGGCACAGCCAGAGAGAGAGCGGGCAGACGGGGGCTGACAGAGCAGAGCAGCTGCTCCTGGTACAAGGCTCCCCCTGGGGAAGAATCAACTCATCTGGCATTAAGACAAGGGTAACGCTGCACCAAACTGCGAATATACTAAATATAAAATATAAAATCATAGCTGGGCATGGTGGCTCACTTCATTGATCCCAGCTCTTGGGAGGTAGGCTGAGGCAGGAGGATTCCAAGTTCAAGCCCAGCCTGGGCAATATAGCGAGACCCCCTATCTTGACATGAAAAACGCAGTGTGTGTTGGGGGTGCTTTCTGACCCCAGAACAATCCCCAGCACTGCAAAAATAAAGAATCAAGCAAACAAAATTTACATCTCCTTCAGTGACGTTTCCTCAAGCGTCTGGCTGGCTCTGGCAACCAGATAAGAGTCGAGTCCTGGGTGACCCCGAGACGCTTGGGCCACTCAGCGGCTGTGTCAGTGCCCCATACCTTCATGCCTTCCTCCTTCCCGCTCTCGATCAGCTCATCAATTCTTCTCCTTTCTTCTGACTGCATGGGGAGGAAAGAACAGAGCGGTATCAGCATCTACTCTTGCTTACCCTGCAGGACCCCAGGGCCGGTGAGGCTGGAGCTCCAAGCACCCCCTTTTCTCATCAGCCACCTGTCTTTAGCACCTGTTGCCTAGATTCAGAGCGCCCAGGTCAGGACACTGCGGAGGTCCTTGGGCTGGGTGGGGACTCCAGCCTGCCTCCAGGCAGTTCACAGAAACGGGGTGTAGTGCAGGCTTGACCCCCAGGGGGCGCTGCTGAGACGAATGGAACCGTGGCCACTTCCGGTTTCTTTTACTTCCTGTCTGTGCTTTTCGGCTGCAATATGCCACCTCATCACGGACAGCAACAGGAGTCACCGGACCATAAAATGCACTTATAACTTAGAAGCAAATCAGACCGCATGGATGGGCATGGTGGCGCATGCCCATAATCTCAGGACTGGGGAGGCTGAGGCAGGAGTATTACAAGTTAAGAGCCCAGCACTGGCCGTTTAGTGCCTTAGCAAGACCCCATCTAAAAAATCACCTGTGAGCTGGGCGTGGTGGCTCACGCCTGTCATCCCAGCACTCAGGAGGCTGAGGTGGGAGGATTGTTGTAAGTTCAAGACCTGTCTGCGCTACAAAGTGAGCTCAAGGCCAGCCTGAACTGCATAGCGAGACCCCCGTCTCAAAAAAAGACCAAAAAAAAAAAAAAAAAAAAAATCACCTATGGCAGATCAGAAGTCATATACACTTTAGGTGGGACACGTGCTCCTTTCCTTCCAGGACCTGCTTCATTGGTGTGTGCACTACACTTCCAACAGAAGCCACCAGCACAGATCAGAACGGAGGTTCCTCCCCTCCCAGCCCCCTCCTGTGGGGCCACCTCACCACACCCACCTCCAGTGGGAGCCTTCCCACTGGTGTGTTGGTGACCACAGGGACCACCTCTTACACACAGACCTCGCCTAACTGCCCAGGGCCCAGAGGCCTCACAGGGCCCCAAACCAGCACCACCCACACTGCAACATGGCAGATCCTGTGCTGTCGCTGGGATCTCTGCAGCAAACGGTCCCTTGGCCCCTAGGACAGTCTCTCCCTGCCTGCGCCGTCTCCCAGGCTTCTACTGACCCCCACTCCTCACCCAGCCACCAGAGGGCTCCTTTAAAAATCTGAGTCTGGTCACATCGCTTCGCGTGTTTACCGCACAGGGTCCCACACAGTGTTGGTTCCTCAGCTGTGATGCCAAGAGAAGCCGGGTAACAGGTCCAAGGGCACTCTGCACCATCTCTGCAACTCTTTCTAACAAATCTAAAACTATGAGATTAAAACCCATTTAGGCCAGACACGGCACACTATACCTCTATGCCTGCACTCTGGGAGGCTGAGTAGGAGAATCATAGGTCTAAGCCTCATCTGGAGAACTTGGGAAGATTGTCTCAAAAAAGGAGTGCAGATATAGCTCAGTGTGAAGGCCCTGGGAATCATCCCCAGTACTGTCCCCCAAAAATTAAAGAAAAAAAAAATGGTTTGCAATAGCTTTCCCACTACTACAGGGAGAAAATCCAGTCTGTCAGGTTTTGCAGGACCAAGACCCTGCCCCAGGGCCTTTGCACTGCCCTTTCCCCTGTAGCACCTCATCTCACATGACCCCCTTTCCCCCACTGCCATCTGTTTGGCTCACTTCTTCCTTCAGGGGTCTGCTCCAAAGCGACTTTGTCAGAGAAACTCCCCAGACTACTGGGCTAAAGGAGCCTCAGGCCCGCCATGGCAAGGTCCCAAGTCTTCTTATTTTATGTTGCTCATTGTGCCCTCGCTGGAACACAGACTCCCAGAGCACTGGGCCTGAGTGTCCTGTGGACTCCCCCAGCTAGGACAGCGGCCACCATGGCCAGAGCAGTGCCTTTTGCCTGCGTGATTCACCCTGAGTAATTGTAGGGCAGGAAAAGGCCAGCGAGTGGGGGCTTCAAGGTTGCAGCCACTGACAGCTGTGGGGGTGCTCTGGGCGTCCGGAGAGGAATTCTGGCAGCAGTCACGGTGGCCTCTGGGCAGCTAGCATGGCGGGGGACGCGGGGTAAAGAGGGCTTGGGAGCAGAGGATGAAAGCCAGAGCCCCCGGGGCTCCTGATGACCCAAGGTGGGATCAGCACAGGCCCCACCAGAGGCCCTGGGAGGTGTGCGCTGAGGAAGCAGCTGCTGCCCCAGGTGGTGGCCACAGCACAAAGTCCAGGGCCCAGGGCAAGTCTCCAGGCCCATCGGTTGGTATTTACTTATTCCCTTTGGGTTTTTGAGGCAGGATCTCCTTATGGCGTGCAGGCGGCCTTGAACTACAGCCCAGACCCTGCCTCCTGGCCTGGCCTGTACCCTGCACCCTGGATCCCAGGTTCTACACCCTGCCCCGCCCGGTCTTGGCACCTCTCATTCCGGTTTCACTCTTGCCCAGCCTCTCTGTGCCCTCCTACCCACTCTGAAGCCTAGACCCAGCCCAGCTCCTGCCGGCCCAGGAGGGCAGTGGCATCAGGACAAGCTCAGCCTGGGCCAAGGCTCAGCTGCTGCACCCTCGGGCTTTCTCTGTGCAGCCAGAGAATCCACGCCCTGCCAGTGCCAGCCACAGCGGCCTGCTGGCGGGCGAGCGCCAGGCCCACTGCCAGCACAAACAGAGGGGCACCGCGTGGCTTCTGCTTGGGGCTGGCTCTGGGTCAGCACCATGGCAAGTGGCCGGTGCTGCAGCCCCGGGCTTGGGGACACAAGCGCACACACGGTCCCCCTCTGGTTCCTCTGCTCTACGCTGGGCAGACCTACAGCACAGCCCACTTCTCTCCCAGGGCGGAGGAGGAGCTAACTCCCTGTCAGCAGGACAAACTGGCTTACTCTGCCTCGGAGCCCCCAGTGTACACTGCGCGGGCTGGGAGGAGCCCTGGCCCGGGCCTAGCCGCCTCTCACGCTGCAGTGCCGCCTGGGTGACCTCAGGCAGCCTCCTGCTGCCACTACTGGTGGACGTTTTCTAAGAGCCCGAGCCTGGCCAAACGACACTGCTTTCTCCTGAAACAGAGCCAAGGCTGCTCCCGGGTGGGGAAGAGGAATGGATGCCTCTCTCCTTTCCAAATAAAGTGCCACCGAGTAATAGAAAAAAGGAGCACGCCTGGATCTCTGCACCTAATGTGCAGCATTAGCACGAAGAGCCGAGGCGCTCACACTGCCCAGGCCGGTCTGCACCTCTCTGTGGGACAGCGATGCTGAGCATCCAGGGTGCAGTTGGGGCACAGGGAGGAGGGGCTGCTGGGAGGTCACACCTGCCTCGCCTGTCCGGGCACCAGGACAGAGAGGTGATAACCACACCCCACTGCATCAAGTACCCTGCCAGCCCTCCGCTCTGCCCTCCTGTCTGGGTGTCCACTGGTTCTGCAGGTTCCCAGATGGGAGGAAAGGCTGCCTGCAACCTCAGGAGGTGACCACACTGGAAGGCTGGGGGTGACAGTCCCGGTTCCTTGGCTGCTGTGTGCCAGGCTCCGGTCTATGTGTCCTACAAGTGTTAACCCTCACAACAGCCTCGCTCAGTTTCCAGACAGGGCAGTGGAGGTGCAGAAGGTCAGGGACACACCTGAGCTCCTCACACAGGCAAAGCTTCCCCCTTAGCACTCTCCCATTCTGCACTACCTCATGGAAACTTCCAGAAACGCTGAGGGTCATCTCGGCCACTGAATCCTAGGAAAGCCACTCTCCTGACAGCACCTGGCTTTCTGTGCCGTGGGCTACAGACTGCAAAACTCCTTCATGGGGGTGTTACGGCCAAGTCCCTCAGTGACCCCATCCAGACAAAAGAGCAGGCTGGGCGAGGTGGCAAATACCCCTCATCCCAACACGCAGGAGGATCCAAAGTGGGACCCAAGCATGGTCAAACTAAAAAGACACTGTCTCAGAATGTCACAGGGGCAAGGAATGTAGCCCAGGGTGAAGGCCTGGGTTCAGTCCCCTCCGAGATCTGCCCCAAGGCTCAGGCCCTGATACCCATCTGGGCTGGGGCCGATCCCACCCTCTGGGAGCTATACCTGCAGCTCGGCTTTGCTCTTCCTGGAGCTCCTCCGGACCGGGTAGAAGTCCGTGAGTTTGCGATTCTGCTGCGTTTTCCCTTGAGCTCTGGGGAGGGGAGGGGAAGGGAAGAGAGGAACATGGCTATCAGGACCGAAGCCACACTCCGCTCCTCGGGGGACAGCATGTGGAAACCGAGCCACTTAGGTGCCTTTGTGCCAGGGGGCCCAAGGGCACCTGCTCACCTGGACAAGGGGGCCTGAGAGACAGGGTGGGGGAGGCCTGGGCACTGGCACATGCCATGCCGAAACACTGACAAGCAATGGCACTGGGGTGCTGAGGGGGTCTGAGCCTTTGCAGGGACAGAGGCCAGGAACGTGGGGGCTGTGTGAAGAAGCGAGGCCGAGGGGTGCTTACTTTTTCCGAGGCGCCTGTTTGCCCTTGAGAGACTTCTTCAGGGCCTGCCTGGCGATGGCCACATTGGTAGAATCACAAGACGAGGCTGGAGTTTTTGGAGGTTCTGCTGCTTCAGGTTTTTGGTTTGGAAAATGGACCAGGGGACCTTTCCTGGCATCTTTGAGCTTCTGCTCCTCGGACTTCACGGCGCTTCGTATGGCGTTCGCAGCGTTTCTTTTGTCTGCGGCAGAGGGCAGGAGTGAGAGAGGGGCTCGTTCGCCAGCCTGCCTCTGGTCCGGGGACCGTCAGCAGCGTGGTAAGGCAGGCTGAGAAGAGCGCGTCCTGGCAGTGCTGGGCAGCCATGCCCTGGGTCTGAGTCACCACCCATGGCCAGCACAGTGCAAAGGCCTGGTTTGACTCTTTTTGGCATGTATCATGCTAGAGATGGAATTCAGGGCCACTCTAACACTGTACTATGTTCCTGTTTAGTTTTTATTTTCAGAAGGGGCTTTGCTAAGTTCCCCAAGCTGAACCCAAACGTGTGATCCTCCTGACAGCCTCCCAAAATTACAGGTGTAATTACCACGCCAGGCCTCACTTCTGATCCTTGTCAAGGCAATTTTCTCTTCAAACAAGGATGAAGCTGGCGTCTACAATGGTTCTCTGTACAGTGCCTGGCAGCCTGACGGCCCAGTGACAGCACAGTAAATGCTGTGACTGAGAACAGCCTTGAGCGGCAGCTCTGCCCAACTATTTGCTTTCATCTTTTTTAACGATTTACTTTTTTAAATATATAAATAACACGCTACTGATCGGAATGTAAAATGGCTCAGCCACTTTGGGAAAGTCTGGCAGGTCTTCAAAAACTTCAAAAACACTGGATTACCGTACGACCCAGCAATTCCACTCTTATGCATCTACTTGAGAGAATTAAAAACATCTGTCTGCACATGAATGTAGCGGCTTATACGTAACAGCCACACAGTGCAAACAGGCCAAATGCCCACCCACGGACGAAGAGTTAAACAGAACATGGATGACCCACACAGAGAGACGTTTCAGCAGTGAAAAGGAACACGCCGCTCACTGACACACACTGCGCATCACACTAAGTGCAAGAAGCCAGACACAAAAGCCATGCTAAGTGAACCATCTGTAGGAAATGTCCCCAACTATGAAGTGAGACACTGTCTCAAAAAACAAAAAAGGTCCCAGCAGGCAAAGCCAGAGAAAGGGCTTTAACGGCTGCTGGACTGTGAGGGCCAGGAAAGGCAAAGGGACTCCTAATGAGCTTTGGTACGTGATTTATAGCTCAATACACAGCAACAAATAATACATTAAAAGCATCCAGATCATCCTCCCCTTATGAGCTCTTAGGGGGACCAGGGGAAACTGAGGCCAGGAGGGCCGGTATAACCCAGAACACTGCCTGTGAGGTGAGCCTGTACAACAGCATGGCCAGTGCCTCCAAAATACATGCGACCCCAAATTCTAATCATAGCCATCTCATGACACTGTGACAAAAAGTAAGCTAGCTTGCATCCTCTGTTATCTTGGGAGACAATTTACATTCTCCCCCACTCCAGAATAGTGCGTGGCTGGCTGGCCCGCGCTTTAAAGCAGCCCTCTCCCCACACTTGAGTGGCAGGTACAGCATAATCGCAGGCCATGGTACTGGCATTCAGAGGGAGAAAGACTGGCATCTGCTGCCCGTCAAAAAGCCTTTCTGGGGGGGGTGGGGATTTAGCTCAGTGCCATAAGCACCTGCCTGGCAAGTGCGAAGTCACAAGTTCTATCCCTGATACATAAATAAATAAATAAATAAGCCTTTCTGTGTCCTCTCTGGAAGTGAGCTTCCAAAAAGCCCTGGGGTTGGGGGAGGCTCGTCTTTCCTGACTTACTTTTGAGCCAAGTGAGGCTCCCCAAAGAGTAGCAGTCTGCCTCGGCCTCTCCCTTCCAAGGGGCAGAGTTAAGATTGTGACCAAAGTGGTTCTGAGACCAATGGAAGTAGCACCGCCCAGTACCCTGGGGGGAAATCACACTGAGGGCAGCCAGCCCCTGCCCAAGGACTGCGTCCCTACCTCCCTGTCTCAGATCTGAGCTCTGCTAACATCAGTGCCTGTGACACTTGCCCTAGTAAAGACAAAGCTTCCTCCTACGGGAGCTGCTGGGAGCCCAAGGCTCTGCCCCTGTCAGGCGAGTTTTAATTAGACAGGAGCAAGGAGAACTGGGGGGAGCTTTGAAAGGAAATATTCAGATGAGAACAAGATCCTCAGAGGGTTCCATTTGTTTGCAGAGCCAGAGAGAATTTTCCATAACCATGTATTTTCTGGCTCAATTGTTTTTGGCGCTGGGCAGGGAGTGGGCGGGGAGGGGGTGTCAGAGAGCAAACCAGGGCCTCACGCATGCCCAGTCTCATGCATTTCCCATGTTCACACCACCACCACTGCACTTTCAGCATTCAAAAGCCTCACCAACTTCAGGGCAGGCGTGTCGGTTTGGCAACTTGGCAAAGCCAGGCCTGAAGAAGACACTAAGCTTACAAAAGCACGGAGAAGCCGTAAGACCGACAGGACAGATAGCCTGCTACTGGCTACTCTTTGGCCTCTTTTGCTCTAGCTTATAGCAAACACAGCTCAAATCTCTCTAATGTAATGTGTCTATACATGTTCTTTAGGAAGACAAAGGCTCCAGCTGGGGTCTGCAGGGCCCCGTACCAGGCTTACCTTCTCGTTTCCTGTAGATCCCGGCTAATGGTTTCCCCTGGCATTTGACTTCATGATGTGCAACTGAGTTCTCTTCCTGAAGGGGGGAACGCATTCCAGAGCATTTGTTTGGGCTCATGTAGGAATAGATCTTTGACTGCCCGGCAAATACGTTCTCCTAGAAAGACAAAGGCGTATTTTGAAAATCTGAAAACAAAGATCCAGAGCATTTTAAAGGGAGCTAGGGCAAAATTCAGACTACAGTGACATCATCTCTCAAGGAAGAAGCCACCAGAGGAAGCCAGTCCAGGATCTCAGGGGAGCACTGGCAAGTTAAGGCTCCCTAGGGTTCAAATCAAACACTTCTTAATCCCAGTGAGCTCTGATGCCTGTCACCTAGGGGACATCTGGCCAGCAGGAGAACCATGTGTGCCCGCCTATCCCCTTTGGGTAACCTACCAGCAGCAGGGGGAGGCTGGAATGACCCAGGAAAGATTGGGAATCCACAGGGCCGGCTGGGTCAGGCTGAATTAAGCCCTCCCTGGCCGAGCAGCAGCAACTCTTAGCACAGAAACAGGGCTGTGGAAATCTGATTAACCAGGGCTCCTGAGGTCAGCTGGGAGGGCTTATCAGTACTGAGCCCTCAGGAAGCCCAGTGCAGCCCTAGCCCCTCTCCGGGATCACCGAGCCCAGAGGCCTTCTAATGGCAGAGGCTAGGGTGGTCACTCTCTCGCAAGCCACGCCTTGCCTTTACTAGCTGTGGACAGCCATGGGCGGTACTGGTCACTGCTGATGTCTCTGAGTGTGGGATCTGTCCCCAAGAGAGCACAGGCCATCCCAGTGGAGGACAGCTTCCCCAGAAACACTGCAGGGCCCTGCTGCCAGGCAAGCCATTAAACACCAGGTCAGCGACCGGGTGGCCTCGCCAAGCGACCCCAGCGGGACCCGCACACCCTGGGAACGCAGCCACCTCCGGGGACTCTGGGTCTCCGGGAGCACAAACGCCATCAAGGAGCAGTGAAACTTTTCTGAGGTCAAACACTGCCTGCCAAGGCTCTGGCGGAACCAGTGTGGCCGCCACTCCCAGCCAGGCAGCGGAAAAGGAAGCAGTCGGGCCAGCCCGGCGCCCCTGGGCGGCGCGGCTGCGGGCACGGGCGGGGGCCAGGAGCCCACGCGCCCGGCGGGAGGGCGGGCGTCGCTGGGGGCGGGGAGGGAGCCTGCTTACCCCGTCGGTGCGGGGCCTCCCCGGGCCCCTCCGCTCCACCATCTCCGGGCCCGGGGCCGTCGCTGCCACCGCCGCCGCCGCCGCCGCCGCCTCCACCGCGCGGGGCTTGGACATCTTCCTGCCTGGAGAGGGGGACCCGGGGGAAGCGGGGGAGGGGGCGCTCAGGGCGCGGCGGGGCGGGGAGCGGGGCCGCCCGGGCCGGGCGCCGCGGTGGCGCTTCCCGCCGCAGCCATGTTTCGAGGGCCCGGCGGCGGAGGGCCGGCCGGGGCGGGCCTGGGTCCGCGTCGTCCCCCCGCCGGCCGGGCCGGCCAGGCCCCGCGCGCCGCCCGCCCCCCGCGCGGCCGGGCCCGACACACCCACCTGCAGCCCGGCCGGGCCCATGGCGGCGCGCCCCGCCACCTCGCCCTCGCCGCCTCCGCCGCGGCCCGGCCACCAGCGCTGTCGCTGCCGCTGCCGCTGCTGCTGCCGCCGCCACCAGCGCCGCCGCGGCGCACCGGGGAAGGGCCGGCGGCGCCCCATGGCGCCCCCTTCCCCCATGGCGAGCGAGGCCCGGCCGGCACCGCGCGCCGCGGCAGCCCCGGCCGCCCCGAGCGAGGGACGCAGGAGGGAGGGATCGAGGGACGGAGGGAGGGCTCGGAGGAGGAGAAGGAAGAGGAGGAGGCGGCGCCGGCTCGGGGAGGGGCCAAGCGGCGCGGCGAATCCCGGCTCGGGCGCGCCCCCTCGCACGCGAGCTCAGCCACTCGGCGCGCACCGCGGGGGAAACGCGACTGTGACGGCCAGGCTCCAGCGGCCGAGCGCCTTCTCTCGCGGGCGCAGCGGGTATTCTGGGAGCCCGATCCGTGCCAGGAGAAGTCAGTATCGCTGAGCGCGACAGGCAGGGCGGGGGAAGGGCGCGGGGAGGAGGGCGCAGGTGGTGAGCTACGGATGCAAGCGCGGGCCGGCGTAAAACTCCCCGGGAGCCCCAGGGGTCCACTTATGCCCGCTCTCCAGCCCAAGATAGGGATTTAGGTTTTCAGAGATATACAAGGGCTGCATCCACGACGCCAGAACCTGGAAAGGATGGGACTAAGGTGTCTAACCTAGGCAGTCTGTACTTGGCCGGTAGAAGGCCCCGTGCGGACAGCGCCCCTGGGCAAGCGATGATAAATGGGCTAGGCGCCTGTACTGCATATGTTATCATTTAAACCTCCCAACAGCCTGTGGAGGGTAAACACCTTAAGTCTTCGCTACGGATGGGGAAATTGAGGCTCAGAGAAGTAAAAAGCCTGGGTCAGTTCTCACAACAAGTGGTGAGTAGACTTCGGCCGAGGGTGAAAAAGCTCAGCCCTTACCTTCTCCGTTGCAGAGGAGGCAACTGAGGGTGGGAAGAGCATCTGGTGCTGCAGAAGGGTATAGCAGGTGGCCTTGTGCCCTCCCCAGTCCCCATGACAAAATGCCCACGGTAGGCAGGATTCTACAGCAGCTGTTAGGCCTTGTGGGCCCTCAGCCAAAGATGCACTGAATTTGTGCAAAGTCATAGATGCGAAAGAGACACTTGAGATCGGCCAGCTCCTGCTGCCTATGTCTCTCCACAGCTACCCCCTTTTTGACTACAGCCACACCACTTCCCCAATCTGACCCTCAGCTTCCTTATGGGTAAAAACCAAGAACCCTGTGTTCCATCCTCTACCTGGGCACCTTCCAACATCTGCAAATAAACGAGTGGCTCCCGCTGACGCTGGCCTCCCATTAGAAGCCGTAAGACTGAGTGGGACTAAAGAGACAGGAGACCACTCAGGGTGTCACCTCCCAGTGAACAGTTCATGGCTTCAAATCCTTCAAGGCAGCCTCCCCGCTCCCAACCACTAAGTCCAGGATGTAGGTAAGGCAGCTCATGCCCTTTGAAGATCCTAACACACTTAAGCACCAGAGACTACCAGGATGATAAAGAGGATTTCAAAGTGACACTCTGAGCCAGTCTGGTGTGCTCCTGTAATCTCAGCACTCAGGAACCTGAGGCAGGAAGATAGTTACAAATTGGAGGCAAGCCTGGGCTATATAATTTAAGGCCAGCTTAGACTAAAAGTAAGACCCTGTCTCAACCTCCCCTCCTAGACCCCACCCAAAAAAGCAAGACTTTGACATTGAGGTTCAGCTACTTTGAAGTGTCTCTACATCAGCAGAGCAGAAAACTGTTACAGTATCCCAAAGAGGTAAATGCAAATCATTCAGTTTAAGTTTTGAAAATCTTCCCTTCCTTTGTGCATATTTATAGGTATATAACAAATGTACCTATCAACAGAAATATAGGATTTTACACAAATACAATTCTACAGCAATATCACTAATAACTGACACTTACTGAATGTTTATAATGTGTTAGTTCCTATCATATTGCATTATTTAAATTTCCCAACAATTTATGAGAAGTTGCCATTATTCCTGTTTCACAGATGTGGAAATCAAGGTTCAGACCAGATGAATCACTGGTAGAAAGCAAAGAAGCTGGGTGAGATTTGAACCCAGTTCCACTATATAAGCATAGTTTACCATAAATGATATATATTGTGCCAGGCATGGTGGTGGATACCTGTAACCTCAATACTTACAAGGCTGAGGCAAGAGCATCACCATGAATGAGTTCAAGGCCATATTAGGCTATATATTAAGTTCAAGGTCAGCCTGGACTACCTAGCAAGACTCTGTCTCAAAAAAAAAAAAATGCGTATTGCTTGTGTTAAATTCAAACCCTAACATATTAATACATTTATTCACTCTATAAACATTTATAAAATACCTATTTTTCTTCTTGTCTTTTGAGACAGGGTCTCTCTATGCAGTTCAGGTGGGCCTTGAGCTCACTTTGTAGCCCAAGCTGGTCTTGAACTTGCAACAATCCTCCTGCCTCAGCCTCCCGAGTGCTGGGATTACAGGAGTATACCACCACACCTTTTTGAATACCTATTTTGTTCCAGATCTTGTGCTAAGGACACAGCAGTAAACATAAAGGCAGATGGAGCCTTGTGAGGCCAGGGGGTCAGCAGGACTTTGGAGGCCATGACAACTGTAGATTTAATCCTTGGAGTGATAGGGAAGCTGGGGATGGAGAGAGCAGTGAAGATGATATGATAAAAATCTGGGTTTTGGGGGATCATCAAAGCTGTGAAGGGATAATAAACTACAAACAGTAAAAATGGGAGGGGCTGGGGATTTAGCTCAGCGGCATACTGCGCCTGCCTTGCAAGCAGGCAGTCGTGAGATCAATCCCCAGTACCGATAAAAAGGAAAAAGACAAAAAAAAAAAGAGAGAGAGAGAGAGAAAAATGGGAGAGAGAACAATTCAAAGGGAATTATTTGGTAATGGCAGAAAGAGACGGACAAATAGATGGAATGAGCCTTCCCAAACTAACATACTTGGTGTTATAAATATCCACATGACTATAAAATTTCAGTTGCCTGGTATCTGAAGATCATTAGCAGGACCAGGGATTTAGCTCAGTGGCACAAGTACCTGTCAGGCAAGAGTGACAGGTACCATCGATCCCTGGTACAAAAAAAAAAAAAGATGAAGATCATTAGCAGGATCCAGGGGACTGTCAGAGTGAACTGCTTAATATCCTGTAAATGATTTAGTATTTATATTTCTCAATATTCAATTTAATTGTTTACAAGAATAGTGCAGTAACTGGTGTGGTAGCACTTGATTATAATCCCAGCATTCAGGAGGCTGAGGCAGGAGAATGGTCACTCTGAACTACATAGCAAGACCCTGTCTCCAAAAAAAAAACCACCCTAAGAAACTATAGTATGATAGGTAACTCTATGAATCTGGGGTCAAATGATAGTGAAGATCATGAACCACTAACTACAAAGATGACTTGTAAGCCTACTATGATAATGATAGAAGCTGAAGACTTTCACCTTCACTGTGGTTAAACAAAGGAGGTAAAACAAGGCAAAGAATAAATGGCTACTCTGTTGCTGTTGTTTTTTTGTTTTTTGTTTTTTGTTTTGGTACTGAAAAACCCAGCTCAGGACCTTCTGCTTGCCAGGCAGGTGTTGTGTGACTGAGCTATATCCCCAGCCCAGTATGGCTACTCTGGACAATGACTTTGGACTTCAGCTTCCACCTCTGAAAAATGGGAATAACAATTTGTAAAAATTGACTAAGATAATAAATTGCCTGGCCTGCAAAGGCAATTATTAAATGCCCATATTTTAAGTATTTCAATGATAGATGGCTAGCTTTTCCCCCCATAGATTAATTTAAGCAAGTTTTTAAAAAAATGTACTACTAGGGGCTGGGGATTTAGCTCAGCAGCATAAGCGTCTGCCTTCTAAGCAGGCAGTCGTTAGTTCGATCCCTGGTACTGATAAAAAGGAAAAAGACAAAAAAAAAAGTACTACTGTTAAAACAGGTAGTGTAGATGGTTTTGCAATGATGGTAAAAATGAACCAAGGAATCATAGTTTTACTAAGACTTGTTGGATGATTAGATAAATATACTCTTAACGCTTAACACTTTCCTAAAGAAAAATATTAGTCTTAATTTTCTCTGTGAATTGGGTTATGAAGCTCTTTTAACCTGAATTCACTATGCCTCATTTCTTCACCAGAATCTGGGGAACTCTTGTCCCCAAAGACCATACTGGACTGTTGGGAGAACAAATGATGCAATTGGTTGTAGGGCCTGCAAACAAAGAGGCCCAATAAATATTCGCTGAATGCATCATGATTTCATTCATTATTACTGCTATAGAGAGCTTACTGCATTGAGGCAAGTTCCTACTAGCATGTGGTACCTTGGCATTTCAAGCAAAATGTAATGCTCCAACTTACATTTTTTAAAAAATGGTAATGCTACTCCACTATCACGCTTAAGTTTTTGGCCCTTTAGTGCAGAGACACAGCGGCTGGAAATGACCAAGCGGCTGGAAATTTCTTTGCCGCATAATGTGGGCTTCGCGATCCTGACTGCAAACTATGCAAAGAGAGACTTCAGGCGGGGACATCTCTTGCCCCACGGTACACCCTACCCACGCCATCGCCCGTGGGCTGGAGTCCTAACCCGATCGGGCAAAGGGAACCCCGGGAAATGCCGCGGGGCCCGTGTCATCCAAAGTGGGCCAGTGGGGCCTGGCCTCACCCCGCGGCGCAGAGCTGACTCAGGCCGTGGGGGCAGGAAGGTGCCTCGGCGGCACTTACGCCAACTCCAACACGCTCCCCAAGATGTAGGTTACCAATCTACTCCCTGGCCTCGCGGTGACCTCCAGGAGAGAGCACTAGGGTGGGCGAAGCCCCGCTCCCCCTTCTCCTGTCATTAACAACCTTTCCCTGGAGGTGTCCTGAGCTATAGTTTGCAGTGAGCTCTGACATATGGATCCGCTACCTCTGGAAGAGACAGCGGCAGCGGGCGTCCACACTTCAGAGAGGGGAAATAAAGGCGCAGCAGGGGGAAGGGCCTCCGGGGTCCTCGGAAGCAGGAGTTGGGGGGCAGACAAGGGTCCGCGGGCGCCTCCTCCCCCGCCGCGGGGTGCCCACACTCCACCCGCGGGAGGGTGCCTCCCGCCGCCGTTCCTGGCTTGCTCCAGGGCCAACCCCCACCCGGCC